AGAAAATTTCATTAACTATGACACGGGGGATACCATTGCTCACTACAGTTCTTCAAATGTTATAAAAATGGCAAGAGGTAAAGTAAATATCAGTGAAATGGCACACGTATCCCAAAGCACTTCTTTTCAGGTACAGAAATACAAATAACATGCAGGTACAATAATTCTTCCTCTTCAAACCAATTAATAAATTGTATTCTTATTTTCTATGTGAACCATGCCTGCTTATAAGTTTATTTAAGGATCAAATGAGACACGTTAATCTCTTTGTACATCTCCATCAGAGCCCTTCGGTGACTAGATGCGCTGTTAGTGAGCAGTGATATTTGAAAAGAATCTTTATTTTTTAAGTTGTAGGTTTCAGCAATTGGCTTAAAATATTCAGTAAACCATGCTGTCTACCAATGTACTATCATCTAGGCTTTGTTGTTTCACTTACAGAGCACAAACAAAATAGATTAAGCATAACTCTGAAGGGCACTAGGATTTTTTTTTTAAGAATTATTTTATTTAACTTTATTTATTTTATTTGACCAGAGAGGGACAGAGTGAAGAGACAGGAAAAGTAAGAAAAGCAAATCACCAGGTCCAGGACTTAAACCATGGTCGGCCATACCACCTGCCCGCCCCAAGAGTCTAGTATTTTCAGGATTTTTAAAGTACTGCTTTAAGCTAAAGTCACCAGCTGCCTAAGTCCCTAACACGAGGGTTAAGTCTCATCTTTAAAACCCTTAAGTCAGGTATTGACTTCTTTTTTAGCTATGAATGTCCTAGATGGGTAGCATCTTCTTCCAATATAAGGCTGTTTTACATGTATTGAAAATCTGTTGTTTAGTTATCTCAGCTAGATATTCTGGATAATTTGCTGTGAGTTGTACTTGGAAACTTCCTGTCTAACCTTGAACTTTTATGTTATAGAGATGGGTTCTTTCCTTAAATCTCACAGGCCAAGCCCCTGATAGCTTCAAACTTTTCTTAGCTTCCTCACCTCTTAGCCTTTGCAGAATTGAAGAGATTTAGGGCCTTAATCTGGATTAGGTTTTAGCTTAAGCAAATGTTACGTATGGTTTGATTTTCTCTCTAGACTGCTAAAACATTCTCCATATTGGCAATAAGGTGGTTTCATTCTCTTATCATTCCTGTTCTAATTTTTATATCCTTCAAGAACTTTACCTTTGCATTTACAATCGGCTGTTTGGTATGAAAGGCCAGCTTTTGGCCTATCTCAGCTTTCAACATGCCTTCTTCACTAAGCTTCATTATTTCTACCTTTTGATTTAAGTGAGAGATGCATGACTCTTTCTTTCTCTTATATTCCTAGACCATTCTAGAATTATTAACTGGCCTCATTTCAATATTGTTGTTTCTCAGGAAATAGGGAGGTCCAGGTGAGGGAGACAGATGGGGGACAGATGGTATACCGAGCAGCCAGAACACACACGTTTATTGATGAAGTTCAGTCTCACATGTCCATAGTTCGTAGAGCCCCAAGACAATTATAACAGTAACACCAAGGATCACTATTCCCATACCACCATACAGACACCGTAATAAGGAAATGACACTGAGATACGATGTGAGCACATGTTGTTGGAAAAATGGTACCAACAGACTTGCTTGAAGCAGGGTTGCCATAAATCCTCAACTTGTAAAAAAAAATTATCTGCAGATAATACAAAGCACAATAAAATGAGGTATGCTTGTATTCACGGCATTGTCTTGACATGTAATTTTCTTCATTAAATTCTAACCTCTCTGTCTTCCTTAAAAATTGTACTGAGGGGGCCAGCAGGTGACATGGTGGTGAAGGTGCTGGACTCCCACATGGTGGCCACGACCAACTGCTATTTGAGTACTGGACCTCGCGACTTGCTTTCTCACTTTCCTTCTCTCTGCCTCTCTTTCTTGTGAGCATGCATGCCCTGTAGCAAATTTTAAAAATAATAATAATGGGACCAGCAGTTAGTGTAATGGCTTTGTCGCTGGACTCCCACGTAGTTGACCGTGGTTCGTGTCCCGGACCCAGTGGCTTAAAACTCATGTCAGGCGCATGTGCGTGCATGCCCAAGATCCCGAGAGGAGAATGGAGGAGAAGGGATTGCGGTGTGACCATCCCCCCTGGGGGCTGATTTCTCGCTTTCTGTCTCTCTGTCTCTCTCTCTGGCGAGTGCACGCGCCCTATAGCAAAAAACTCTCCAAAAGAATAATAATAAAAATAATGATAAATAAAATTAAATTATTATTTTTAAAAAGTTCTACTGAGTAGGCTCATTATTAATAACTACATATTGGGGCCAGCAGATGTCACAGTGGTTATGTCCCTGGACTCTCACGTGGCCAAGTGCAGCTTGAGTCCTGGACCAGGTGACTTGAAACTCACACCAGGCACATGTGTGTGTGTGTCCAAGATCCTGGGAGGATAATGTAGAAGGGATTGCATCATGGTCATCCCTCTCAGGGGTGATTTCTCACTTTCCCTCTCACTGTGTCTGTCTCTCTTGCAAATGCATGTGCCCTAAGGCAAAAACCTCTAAAAAAATTAATTAAAAAAACTACGTATTTAGCCAACATCTTTTTCTTGTGCAACTTAACATTAATTTTCTAGTTGCTGTTTGTAATATACATTTAAGAAAAAGTATATAATTTTATTTAATTTTAAATATTTTATCATGTTGGTCTTATTTATTACTGAATAGGAATATGTTAAAAATGTAATAGATAATAAAGCTGAATCTGTCCATAAAGTAACAATTAAAATAAAAGATCCTATTTCAAACTGAAGTGATACCAATATTATTACATTAATATGTTAACTATGTGAAAAATAAAACTTAGAAAGTTTTGATATGCAAACATTATGACAGATTTAAAAATTTTATTAAGTGGACTATCGTTTCAGACTCTAAAACAAAGCTTGCTCTACTAAATATATCTTGAATAAAAGCAGAGAATGTGAATTTATACAGATGTGGGGTTCTTGGCTATAAAACTATCAATTTATTTTCCCACAAAAAGAATAAATTATTTTAGGATAAAAGGAATACTAAAAATTGGAAGTCTGATTTGATAGTCAAATTTCTTAGAACCAAAACAAATTTAGATTTTAACAGCTATAAAAATATTAATGAACTTAAAAATACACCATGTACTAGAACAATTTAAGCCAAATAAAAGGAAAAAGGCTGCTAGGTAATGTCATTAGCTAAGTAATTTTCTCCTTATTCAGAGGAATTGTTAGTATTAAATTTTGAATGCTTAGAAATGCATATTAGGTCAACATAATTAAAGAACAATCATTGTGTAATAAACAATTTTAGATATGTAATAAACAATTTTTAAATCTGATACACTCTAATTTTGAACATGTTATTATTAGCTGATTGCAAACCTTGCCATTAGCCAGTACTTTCATTTTAGCCACAAATAAAAAGAGAGCACATGTGAGCAAAGACACTAAGGATTCTGAAAATATAAAGAAGGCATCTCAAGTATCTGACATCGGGAAGAGCATTTTTAAGCATGATGAGGTACAGGGCGTGCTACCTCAAAATATGGCACCTTGGCATTTAAGAAAATCACAGAAACTGGAGTCTCTCTCCCCTGAAGCAGGTCGTAAGACCCTCATTGGAGAGGTATCCTCTCTCTACCAGAAGGAAAGGAATATCCTTATCTTTGAAGACACAGGGACACAGAGAAGAATCTGAATAAACAGCATTGCTAAGTCTCCCCAAACACAACCCAGTTTACTACTATTGGATCATATCCCATTTGTCTAATCATATGCCTCCAAGAATGTCCATTCTTCATCAAACCTAAACATAAAAATACACAGGCTTTCCTGCTTCTTAGGGTCTTCATTTCTGAAGGTGCTGTCACAGAAAATTTACATGATATAAATATGTAAACTTTCGATCTGTCTCTTAGAATAGGTGCCTCAGCTATGACTACGGTGATGAGTGAGAAAAGAAATCTTTCCTCTCCTACAAGCATAAACCTGTTGCTTAAGCAGTGATGGGTATTATGACATTGTGGTGAAGAAGCATATGATCTCATTGATAAAACAAGATGTGTGAAGAACCATAGAGCACTACAAAGTAGACATTAGTGCCACAGATATGAATGACAGGGCAATATTAGCCTTTATAATAAATGGCAAAGTCTGGATGAAGGAGATTGAATGAGTCAGAAATCAGACGATGAATAAGATTCTAACTGGCAATGAGAAAGGTACTAGTACTACAGGGACAAGCAATGGTAAGGATATGGGTGGGGATAAATGCAAAATGTGTTTTATTCTAGCTATGTATTATTATACGCTTTCTATATTATTTTGACAAAAACAAAACAAAACAAAACAAAAAAAGTTATCCACAAAAGCTAATAGGAAAGTGAGAGAGCAACCATCATGGGTATGGTCACACCCACAATCCCTTCTCCTCCATTTTCCCCTCCTTTTGGGATTTGGGGCACGCACACATACATGCCTGGCATGTTTCTCAAGTCACTGGGCCTGGGACTACAACTGTGTGAATGGTCATGTAGAATGTAGCTACTTTAAATACTAGGCCACAGGCTGGCCCATTGCTACCATCTTTTTAAATTGACTGGGCATCTGATTTTTTCATTCTTTAGTATTTAGCAACCCTTTACTTTAAAAAAACAAAACAAAACAAAAACTAAATTGAATTACATATACTTTGTCATCATTTATCCCATGTTTCCAGGTTGCAAAACATCTTATTTTTCTAATTTCCAGAGAAAAGGAGACTGATTAATTTGAATGTCAATTTAATTACAAAAAGTTTTATCTTATACTAGTGAATCTATATGAACTGCCAATTCGAACATGAATTAAATAATTTAACCCAAACTGACATTCACTTAATTGCAAATAAGTAACCTCAGGAAACTATTATCCTGAGTACTTTATCTTCTTTCAAAGAATGAGAAGACTTCCTGTTGTTGTCTGACGAAGAAAAATGAAAATTTAAAGGATTTACCATTTCCAGTTTCTCTGTCTTAAAGCGAACAGAGGGACTTAGGGAAATCTTTCCTTGTGGTCCATAATCATCCGTCCAACCTTCAGTAATATCTAAGAGACAACAGGGTGCACGTTAATTGGAAACTTAATTGGAATAGAACTTTTCATTTGACAGGATATGCTCTGGGTTCCTGCTGTTCCAAAATAATTCTAGTTAATCAGCTAGCAATTTTCACTTTTGTTTTCATGGTTTTTGTTTGTTTTTCTTTAAGTCTAAAATATAGCTTCACTTAAAGTCCTAAAAAATATAAATAAAAAGAGTGGCCAATTATGCATTGTGAAATCCTATGAAAATATTAACTTGAAAGACAAACACATCCCACCACTGCTCCCATCATCACAGTGCCTTACTAATTGCAAAATAAGTCTTTTTTTGCTCAAAAAAAGTAAAATCATATTAGACATTCAAAAAGATCATGGCATTTCTCTGACTTTCAAGAGTGGTTTTGTTATGTGAATTCTACAAGTACTCTAGAAAAACCCAAATGCAAATCATTTCAAGTCTGCACATAAAATATGATATAAAATCAGACGTTTTTGAGCTAAAATCCTATTTCTCATTTTATAGAAGGGTTATATTTTTAATAGCACAAATGGACTTTCAAGAGTTGAGGATCATACACCATCCATCCATTTTCATAAACTTCAATATACCCTAATCATTTAAATGAATCTTTGTCCCCATTACGTGACTATGAAATCAGGTGCCACAAGGGACTAGAACTTGAAAATCATTGTATTTAATATGCCAGTTTGTAAAACAAAATCCTGTAATTTGTGTCAATCCTTACTCTCTAAATTGTACTATTTCAAATACACTTTAAAATGGTATTTTACTAGTTCTACATAGAAACAAGAGGAAGAGAAAAACTTTTTAAAATGTCACATTTTTATGCAGTGTTTTAATTTTTTTTTATTTCTCAGAGCATCTGTCTCTAAGTACAAGATGATTTGCATTCTCTTTCTTAAGAACATAAGAAGTGCATATGAAAATAAATAGTCTTCCTCTAAACCTTTAACACATCCTTAACATTCTATGTAAAATCTTTAATATAGCTTATAGGTGTCAAGATTATAAAAAAAAAAAAAGAAGAAGAAAAAAGAAAAATGGTTACTGACTTTTAGCTCCAAATGGAATTAAACCTTGAGAAAGATTGATTTTAGTATGAAAGAAATTGTTAAAATTCTGCTAAAGGCAATAAAGTCCCCTTTGTTATCATGTTGCCTAATTGTTGGCCATGGGATAAAAAATACTATATATGACTAGTTAAGTGACCTGGTTGTTAAGGCAGCCAGATTCCACATGGCTGACTGCATGGTTTGAATCCTGGTCCTGCTGGCTTGAGAAACACTCTGGGTATCCTGAAAGGAAGGACACATGGGACAGAAGGGTTGTGGTGTTGTGATGTGACCATTCCCTATGGAGTTGCTATCTCCTCTCTCTCTCTCTGTCTTTGTCTGGTGAGTGCATGTGATTCTGGCGAAACATACACACACACTTTTTTTCTTAAGAGAAATTCTGTGCCAGATCTATGGTATAGCATAAAGGAGTGGCATGATCCAAAAGACCAAACAGCAGACAAGTTAAACTTTATTTTTCATCTTTTGGGTCTGGACTTGACAGTAATGACAATGGTTATGAGCTTGGTGCTTGACCTGCAATTAAGCGTACTAACACCATGTGGACTCAAGCTAACCTAGTTAAGGCCTCTGTTCAAGACTGACTTAGTTTTAATTACTCAGTTCAAGCGTAGTATTCGGAAGGGTTGCAGAGGGGATGAGAACGAGCAAGAGAAAAAGGGAAGAAAGAAGGTGAGACAAAGACACACACAACATTCACATATGCTGAGGCATGAGTTCTCACTTATGTTTTCCTAAATCTTGAGAAAAAAATTTGCTACGTTTGCCAGTAGAAATTACAGAGGATTAGTTCTTATTTAACCTTAGTTTTAGCCATGCAGTAAACTAATTACTTTACGTATATAAGCACATTAACCTTCATAATAACGGCAATGACATAGATGTTATTTCTATCTCAAGATGAAAAGCCCAAGGTTCAAAAAGGTGAAATCGGCTCAAAGTCACACAGCTAGTATGTGCCAATGTTAGGGCTCTAATCTCTTACTACTTTATCAACCAATATTCCTAAAGGTGTCAGCATCTTTCATCATCAGACTCTTCATCTGTAAGATAGGTGGAAAAAGACAGACTGCCTCATAGGAATTGTACAAGTAAAATCAATAAAGTCATAGAACACTACTAAGACGACTATTAAGTATTGTTAATATTAATGCAGAGTCACTGTTAGTAGGAAATTTAATGTAAAACTATCATGAACTGACAGAATTTTGTTTTCTTTTGGCTTTGCATCTAGTGTGTTTAGGAGACCCACAGCACAAACCTGGAGTCTTCTCACACGGCCTCCAGCATTGTGGGCCTGTGATTCTAGTGTCTGTGCCATAGTGGTGAGACTTGGACCTCTACTTTCAAGTTAAAACTTTAAGAGGGCCTGCACATAAATCCAGCATACTTTAGTAATTCAGAATAGCCTGACCTGAAAAGCCCCTCAAGATGGTGTTCCTTATTTGCTAATGGCATCTCTCTATCCCAGCTTCAAGCTTTTCATTGGCTCATCTCTAAGGGAGTGAGATAACACTTCAGAATACAGCTTATTATTGTCATGGATCTTTGGTTCTAGTTACTCTTTTAGAAGAAATTTTTTATAAATACAGAATCTACATAATTTGATTAATTCTATGAACGCTCAATAGATATTTCTCCCCATCAGTATTTTGTCTCAGTTTCAAAAGACTTAGTGCAGGAGAATTAAGGCAGATGCTATTATAAAAAGTCATAAGTACATAACAAATCACAAAGTATATTAAAGTGCCTACAGATAATTTAAAGTTGACTTTGCTTACCCACCCCAGAAATATCTTGCCTGTTATGGTCATGTGGACTGAGTTAATGCTATTTCTACCCTAGGAAGAGTTCTATTTTAATTGCATCATTTAAAAAAAAAATTTCTATAGGACACATGTGCTTGCCAGAGAGAGAAAGGGAAAGTGAGATATCACCTCCTTGGTGGATGGCAAGCTCACAGTCCCTTCTCCATTCTCCTCTCTTGGATCTCGGGGGCATGTATACGCACACCTGGTATGATTTTTCAAGCCGCTGGGTCCAGGACTGGAACTGTCAAGTCAGTCATGTAGGATCCAGCTGCCTTCACCTTCATGCCACCTGTGGGCCTGCGCCATTTCTTTTCTTAAAAGTTTCTTTCTTCCTTCCTTCCTTCCTTCCTTCCTTCCTTCCTTCCTCTCTTTCTTTCTTCCTTTCTTTCTTCCTTTCTTTCTTTCCCATGAGTAAGGAAGAGAGAGACAGGCATCTCTAAAAGGATCTTCATGCCAGTTCCAACTGGCCTGGATCATGGACACACATGCATTCTGGGACCTTTCCCATGTGGGTCTTGTTGCATTACCACTGCTCCAGCATCTGGCCCATAAATTCAGCATCACTTGTTTTTGTTTGTTTGTTTGTTTGTTTGTTTGTTTTAGAGAGAGATTTTTGCTATAGGGCACATGGGCTTGGCAGAGAGAAAAAGACAGAGGCACAGAAAATGAGAAACCATCTCTCCCTCCCCGCCCCGGTGATGGCCATTCTGCAATCCCTTCTCTTCCATTCTCCTTTCAGGGTTTTGGGCACACATGCACACATGAGGTGTGAGTTTTAAGCCACTGGGTCTGGGACTTGAACCATGGTTGACTATGTGGGAGTCCAGCAACGTAACCTTTACATCATCTGCTGGTCCCCAGCATGATTTCTTATAATCACTGGTATAAATTTACCTCAGTTTATTCAGGATTATTCCTTTGCTCTAGTCAGACCTGCCTCCTAGGATCACCTGGCCATCTAGTAGTCCTCATCTCTGTGCTTTTGCTCTGGATACTTCCTCAACTTGGGATGATCTCCTATTTTTATTCATCAAATGACCTTTACTATTTTCCTTCAAGATTTGAGTGACAATTAATGCTTTATTGTTCTAAAAAGTCAGTAAATCACTTCGTGGTAGTTAAAACCAGTAATAATGAATTCAGAATAGTGAATTTATAAATTTATAGTTTACATCCATATTGTTTCTTCTTAAAAACAAAATATAGGGGCCAGCAGCTGGTGTCGTGATTAAGGCACTGGACTCATACATGGCCAGCCATGGTTTAAGCCCCCAACCCAACAGTCTGAAAATCATGCTGGGCACTTGCGCGTGTGTGCCCAAAATTCTGAGAGGAGAATGGACCAGAGGGATTTTGGCATAGTCATCCTCCACCAGGCAGCGGGGGATGATTTCTCACTTTCTCCCTCTCTATCTTTCTCTGGTGAATGTACTCACCCTATGGCAAAAAATAAATTAATTAATTAATTAAGTTAAATAAAATTTTTTCCTAATCTATCCTTCCTATTCCAATGTGTTTCTGAAAGTTATACTTAATATATCTCACTAATATTACAATAAAAGGACAAGGCAATCTCATCTTGATTTATAGAAGAGTTTTCATTATTTAGTTTCAACAGTTCATTAATTATTATAGTTTCATAGGCACTACTATGATAATGTGTCTTTTAAAATTTCAACCTTTTGTTCAGGGAAATTTCCAATAAAAGCCATAATCTAAAAGGGACCACTGGACAATACATTCATTTTCCTCTTTTATTCGCTGAAGGAAAAAAGGCATAATGCACCCTTCTTTAAAGTCTATTAAGTCACATTATCTACTCCTCATTGACAGAGGGTAATTGAAAAAATCACAGGAAAGAGGAATTAAATGTGCATTTACCTGTATTAGGCATATTTGTGGGGCTGTTTTCTGAAGACGTAATTGGAGTCTGTTCTGTTTTCTTGTATCCAGTCTTTATCTGTGAAAGAAAATGAGGAACCACGTAATGTCATTTTCTAAAGTAGGTCAAAGACCAGAGTAGAAGCTCATGTTAACATAAAAAGAATAGTCAAAGAGATTAAAGCAATATTCCAAAAAAGTATGAAATCTCTAGAATGTGGCAAATTCATTTTCAAACAAAGCAATTTAGAATTAAAGGTAAAAATTACCTTCAGCTCTACTATATCCAAGGATAACAAAATACCAGGTCACATACCTTGTCACTTAAAAGGTATTGTAATTCCAGGTGACAAAGTATAAGGGGCTGACAGAAAATCTTATGCTCTGTTTCTGATCAGAATGTATCTGAAACTGAAGTAACCTCTGACAAATTTTATTGCACTGATTGAAAGCCTACCTGACTTTCTCATTTATTTTACAGCTAACATAAAGACTATGTGTTGTATTTTATAACTGGGATTTATTAGGGCATTGTAGTAATTCATAATTGACTATCAATTTTGATATAGAAATCCTCCATTCTGTATAATTCTAATAGGGTGAACATACTCCAGCATACGTTATAGGGAAGCAATATCTAACCTAGATTAAATGATCAGGATTACACTTACTGTGTAGGAAAGAAGACAAGGAACAAAATGTTGGCCTAACTTCAGTCAAACAGAAAACAGAAATGATAATTAACTGACCCATATCAGAGACTTGTCTAGAACTAAATATGACATTCCTAACATAGCTCTGAAAGATATTTAGCCACATCTTTGTTGCACCATTTTGTCACACTGACATCTGCTAACTGATCAGGCTTCTGGACATGAGACATACTGACTTGAAAATTATGTTTATTGATAATACAGCATAATACCCTTCAACAAACAAAAAAACTTTCCAGAAAATACTTGTTAACAAACAGGATTACTAAAATTATAATTCTATATGTATCTAATAACCATAAAAACATACAGGGAATTTATGGAATGTGGGTGTGTATGTGTGTGTGTGTGTGTGTGTGTGTGTGTGTGTGTGTGCATGTGTGTGTGTATTCCACAGAGAAATTTAAGATTACCTGACTTATCTTAAAAGAAGGCAAAATGGTATCTTTAGTTTTCGGAGTGGATGAGGTCTTTGGAATTAGTATTTCAGGGGGAGAAGAAAGAAGACTAAATGTTGAGGCTTGAGGTTCATATTCTCCTGAAGCTTGTAAAAGGGATGTACATGATGGATTTTCTGGATCATTGCCATCAGATTTTTGTCTTATGAATGCTATCTCCCAGGAAGATTCTGACCTAATATGAAAAAGAAATCATTTATGAATATGCTATGAATACAGTACTATTGAAATTTAGGATAATGTTTCAAATATTTTTTAAGGGCCTGAAGTACTTACATCTTAAATTCCTATTTTTAAGGAGACATGCTAAATGATTCATTCTATCTTATGGATAGGGTAGTTACCTCAACTTGGCTCTGGTAATTATGCTCTTTGCTTCTTCAAATGATACACCAATCATGGATTCCTTGTTTACTGAGACAAGTTGATCTCCTGGCTTCAAACGTCCATCCTAACAGCAACATTTATTAGAGAAATTAGTGAGGTGTTTATAAAAGCTAACTGGTGCAATGAAAAGAATATCTTAGCAATATGAAGAACATATTACAGAAAGCATAAAGAGACAAATCTTAGAGGACCTCAGTAGCACAATGTTTTGATAAAAGCCTGGTTTGGTATTAAACAGGAGTAAAATGGAATGGTTCATATAGTCTACGAATAAATTTGCATGCTAAGTAATACTGAATATGTTAGGACATGAGCCAGTACACCAGGAAAAAGACACCTGTTTTAATAACTCAGCACTATGAGTCAAATAAAGCTCTGACTCTGTGATACAGGAGGCCAAAAAACTATGAGATATTTTAGAATAAAAGACTCTTTCACTTAAGTTTCTG